ACATTTGCAAGAGATCTTTGCCCGTTTTTTTTAATCTTCTCTTATCATGAAGAATGTGAGCTATGATAAATTGTTCTGCTAATCAAACAGCACTGAAAGGTTAGGTCACTGGAAGTCTTTAGTCATTTTGTGCTTTTCAAGAGTGAATTTGTTAAAATTATGCTGAATACCCACTTAAAGCCTGGGCTGAAAACCCTACCTGTGTTTTATAACTCTGCACTGTCAGAACCCATAATAAGTCAAACATTCTTTCAGAGGTACTCATAAGGGAGAAAAAACCCTGTAAATTTAAGAGTAATTTCAGATTGTAAATGAAAAAGAGAGGCACGACTGTTCATTTGCACCAATCATGCCTTCCTTTCATCTGCTCTGATTAGGCCTGGTGCGGTTTCATCAAACTACTCCATCACTGAGCTGTCACTCCAGTCGTCTGTTGATTGAAAACAATCAGGGCTCTGATGGCACAATTATTCTGACCCTTTAACTAGAGGCTGCTGTGATAATGAAAGGTTGATTATGATAGTTTGTGCCTCTTTCAGTTTGCCAAGAAGGTTAATTTGGGCATCAGACGGATGTTTAATGGGCGCTTGCTGGCTACACTGAGGTAAATGAGAACGTGCAGTCTTCGATATTGCACGGATATAGTTTGGCTGTCAATCATTGTCATTTTGAGTTTGTGCCTCACACTCTGGAAATCACATTTTATTTTTTCCTTGGGATTTAATTTATTCTGTGCCCTGAGGAAGTTCTTTCACTCTGTGACCTTCACAGTAGCTTTCTCTGTCTTTTTTCCCTTCCCTCACATGGAGCCCAAAGGCATAATACATCTAGAGGAACGTTTTTCTTTCATTTTTCACATTGAAAAAAAAAAAAAAAAAGGAAATTTTAAAATCCCTGTTTATCAGCTCACCCCGAACAGAGCAAATGTTTTAATTCTAATTGTAAAATCAGAAAGAGCAAATGAAAGCATGCCTACTTGCTAATGCAGTGCCGCACCGGGGGCTGCTTACGTAGACACACATTTGTAAAACTGACAAACAGGTAATTTTAAAATGTCTCTGTGCATAGAGGGTGGGGGATGGCACAGCTTTGTTTTCACAGGCTACACGCACATGGCTCAGCTCGGTGCCTTGTAAATGTGGTCTCCGTCACTGTACTACAACTTTTTGAGTTGGAAAGTCTCTTCAGGGTTCAGGGGCAAACGGCATTTCATTGCTGATTCAGAGATTATTAATATTTACTGTGTTCGGATTGAGAGAATCATATGCATAATTTTGTAGTTGTTTGGCTCAAGGTGCAAAAGAAATGCAAATACCTCATAATTTTTATTGTTCCACATGCAGCTCATTACAGTCTTATTTTTATGCACATTTTAAATTCAAAATAAAAAGAAGAAAAAGATTTTTATCTTTAAGGCTCTTCTGCATCTAGGCTTGAGACATTCATTTTCCATGCTGCCCACAACTGAAAGATAGTACCTGATTGATAAAATTGCAGAGAGTCTGAAGGCTGTGCTGCGTGGTTACTAACTTCTAAAAATATTCATGTGTAACTCAAGGCTTTGAAAAGCCTTGTGTGTGTTTTGTTGTGTGGTGGGGGTTTTTTCCTCAGCAATTCTTACGTTTTTCTTCTAAAATGAGTGATACAGACCAATGTAGTTCACCTTACTTAAATAAAATGCTTAAATGAATCCCTAACCCCCCTGGGTTTTGTCCTTTGTAGTCTCTAGAGAGAGAGAGGAGGACTAAGGACCCTTTTGAGGTTCAGATTTAGACCCTTTGGAAACCCCTGTTCGTTGCCAATTGAGATGTGGTTATGAGACAGGAGATTCCAGTCTGGAACACCTGAGGCTTGCTGGGTTAGATAAAATCCAAAACCCAGCAAAATTATGTGTGAGTTTAGAGCTAAAATATGTATTTCCAGGGTTCTCAAAGACCTAACTAATAAAGTCCAAGTTTTGCTCTTTTGAAGTTCCCTTGGTGGTGCTTTATGGCGATTACTGTAGTAACTGTGTTGCTTTTATGACTCTTTTTGGCTTATCAATCAATAGGATCAGATCTATAGCACTGTTCAATATGCTAAGGATACAAAGATATTGACTTTTTTTTCTGGCCAAAATGTTTTGCTTATTTTAAGAAACAGGTGAGATTTGTATTGAAAGAAGAGATTTGTGGTTCTTCCTCTTTACCCAGTGTATATCAACAGATTGTCACATACAAATCAGATAATTTGTGTTGCATATAGCTGATCTCAGTCCAGGAAAACACATCTCTCCACTTTTGTTTCCATATTTAAAATTTTCTTTTCTCCTAAAATGGGAATGTTCACTAAGTTATTACAATCAAGTATTTCCATTTGTTTTAATGAGACAGTGTGAATTCATTGTTTCAAAACTTTAGAAAATTTGTTTCCTTGTATTTGTAGTTGCTAAAACAAACAAACAAACATCCCCCCCAAAAAAGACAACACTCCAATGCCCTCATTTTTTCTGCTGCTGTCACTTTTTGGCTTCATATCAGTTATTAGACACCTTAGAGGACATAAAGTACCATATTTCCTTTACAGTCCATTGGGCTACTATATGAATACGTCAGCTAAAGAACAGACCAACATGACTTTAATGGAGTTCCTGTGGCCCCTGCCAGAGCCCAGACTTAGAAAACTGTTTGCTTTCTTTAGAGCTCTGTGAACAGCAACTTTCCCTAACACTGACTTTGTGACTTAAAGTAGTTTCCAGGTGAAACTGATGAGTATGTCAAGCTTTTTGCACTCATGAAGTAGCTTGGCTTTTCTGATTGGAAAACTTCCTGTGATGTCAAGTGAAGGTCTGGCATGTTTCCTAGCAGAGTGACGTGAGAAGGATTTCAGGGGGATGCTGAACATGCAGGGCACAGGCGTGATGGGCTATCTTGCTTCCTGGGATAGCTGGTAGCCCAAAAGACCAGGTAACTACTTCCTGCAGGGTTATCTTCAACAGGAGTGAAATTCCTGATTCGGCTTTAACCTCCACTGCCTCTGTGCCCTCTCCGGCTGAGGGATGTGTGTGGTATGTACACCATTAACAGCTGGGAGGGGAGGACTGAGCTCTGAGGCTGTGTGACTTGGACTGGAAGCAGAAGCAGGTGTTGGAAAAGCAATGAAATCACTATCCAACATGCAGGTGTACTTCTTTGTATGCTCCAACTGTGCCACAGCATATTTTTCCATCTCTTTTCTGCTGTTTAGAGAATGCACTCTATTGCTAAATCGTGTAATGTAACCTTGAAGAAGAAGAATCCTGTGGGTTAAGGCATCAGAATAAGAGAATTAATCTGGTTTGAAAATCCTGTCCTTCTGAGGGTCTACATTTGTCATTTACTTAGTTTAGAAGATGAATATGGCAAAATATATTATTTATTAAAGTTGATATAGGGACTAGGCTGTAGCTTCCTTTTCTCACACATTCTTACATTAAAATTAATAGAAAAGAAGCTTCTAGCAGTTTAAACAGAATTTGCCTATATGTCAGAAGGAGTAGGAGCCTTTCCTTATTTTTGTAAATTATTTAGCAGTGATACAAATATTTTAAAGCTCAAAATTGTGGATGGTTTTGTTTTGTGGTTTTTTTTGTTTGTTTTTTTGCTTGCTTACTTGTGAGCATTTTAAACAGCATTATAAAGTCTATAATGGCTTCGACTTTATTTTGCCAGTACTGATTACAGCTGCTAATTGTTACTGACAGTGGGGCTAAAACACAGGCACTATAGTTATTCATAAAGTGGAGAAAGGTGTATATATATATATATTGGTGTATAGGCATGGTGGATTTTGGAGTTTCTGTGTAGGCACCAGGTTTCTAAGTCTGGATTAAACAAAACCTGAGTAAAGGTGTTATAAATTGTGTTTATAAATACACAGATGCTTGCTGGTATCGTACATGTAAGTTTCCATCTCTGCCATATGTTGATGAGAGTTATATTTGACTCCTTTGCACTGAAGGAAATTTAGAACTGTGTTACAGCCCATCAATGGCTATTTCTACTACAAGTAGTTTTGGTTTGTCGTCTTCCTTCTCTTCTAGAATACAGAAGCAGTAATGAATTTAATACATCATATATGAAAGCCATGAGTAACAGAAACCTTTATTTTCAGCTCCTTCATGTGACATTGCCATGATCAGTACAGGGCAGTAAGTTTTAGCCAAAACTTTGTCACGCAGCTAGTTAAAAACAACTGCTACACAAGTTCTGTGTCATCATGATTTGAAGTATCAAGTAGAGGAGTCTGTCCTTACACAGAACTAATCAATGTCTTTGATAATGACTTGGATGAAGGAATAATATGGGGTTTATGTTTTCAGAAAATGAGAAGGTGGAATGGTCTTCAAGCACTTTTGAAAATACAATTAGGATTGAGAATCATCTTGACAGACTGGAACAAGTGGCCTGAAGTAAATAGTAGAGAGTTCAGTAACGACAGAGAAGGCATGACACTTAGTGGTACACATATTGTGTTATATGCCTTTAGTATTTTGTCATAAATAGAATGAAAGATGGAGGGGAGAAAAGATTTCTCTTTCTAATCCTCTAACATTAGTCTTACTTCTTTGTAGTGTACCTGTGGTATCCAGTCATCCCATAGCCCCTATTTTTATATTATTGCTCCAGCAGCTTGGTTCAGGAGTAGTATGGTCTCCTACAGCATCACAGATTGTATGATGGGAGTATTGCATAGCAGTAGTGCCAGCTGATAATGCTGTGGAAATTCTTCAGGGGGGCTGGTGCAATAAAATGCTTCTGTGTATACACTGTATATACTACTATAAGTAGCTTTTTAGTAGGTATCTTTTTATGTTGACTAATAGGCTTTCATAACTGCTTTTTAGATTGATAGATACCCCTACTGAGGCAAATACACAGCTGCTCTTGCAATGCAAGCAGTTTGCAAAAGACCAAATTTTTACAGAATTGTACACAAATAATTGGTGTCTTGTTTTTTCCTTTCCTTCTCCGCACTTTTAGCTGGCTGTAAGGTGGCTGGAACACAACTGCCGCTACCAGTACCTGGATGAACTTCTCCAGTACGTCCGCTTTGGCCTTATGGATGTGGATACACTGCATACTGTAGCTCTTACTCATCCGCTTGTCCAAGCAAGTGAAACTGCAACAGCACTCATTAATGAGGCCTTGGCGTACCACCAGAGCGTCTATGCACAGCCAGTTTGGCAAACCGCAAGGACAAAACCCCGCTTCCAGTCAGACACCCTCTACATTATTGGTGGGAAAAAACGTGAAGTCTGTAAAGTGAAGGAATTGCGATACTTCAATCCGGTAGATCAGGAGAACGTTCATATCGCAGGGATTGCTAACTGGAGCGAGCTAGCACCTATGCCTGTAGGGAGAAGCCACCACTGTGTTGCCGTCATGGGAGACTTTCTTTTTGTAGCTGGTGGAGAGGCAGAGCACTCCACGGGGCGCACGTGTGCGGTGAGAACAGTCTGTCGGTACGACCCTCGCACTAACTCTTGGGCTGAGATAGCTCCGATGAAGAACTGTCGGGAACACTTTGTGCTGGGAGCCGTGGATGAGTACCTGTATGCCGTAGGGGGCAGAAATGAATTGCGTCAAGTGTTACCTACAGTGGAACGCTACTGCCCCAAGAAGAACAAGTGGACCTTTGTACAGTCCTTTGATCGGTCGCTCTCATGCCATGCGGGATATGTGGTGGATGGTCTTCTTTGGATATCAGGTAGAAAACGTTTCACACAGTTTGAGGTACTAACAAAATACTAAAATACTGTCTTGAATTAGACTAGTAAATCTTCTTTGGTTTATATGTCATGATAACTTTTGTCTTAGGAGATGACTGTTTCAAAGAGTTGAAGTCTGAGTAGAAATATAGGAGCATAATGTATCTACACTGTATTTTATTTCTCCTGAGTGTCTCTCTGTCTTTCAAAGCTGCACATGTCATATGTGCTATCTCATAGCTGCCATTCATAAATCATAGTGAATTGGAATGATAATGCACTTTTGGACAAATTTCAGATGATAAATTCTGTGTGCTTCCTAAAAACAAACAAACAAAACACAGTTTCTGTAGTATGATCTGGTACTTCTGACAGTGACAGGACCTGAGGGAATTGCCTCAAGTTGTGTCAGGGGAGGTTTAGGTTTGATATTAGGAAAAGGTTCTTTACCCAGAGGCAGATGGCCATTGGAACAGGCTCCTCAGGGAAGTGGTCACAGCACCAAGCCTGACAGAGTTCAGGAAGAGTTTGGACAATGTTCTCAGGCGCATGGTGTGATTTTTGAGCCGGTCCTGTGCAGGGCCAGGACTTGGATTTCTATGATCCTTGTGGGTTCCTTCCAACTCAAGATATTCTATGATTCTACGATTCATTTAGTCCTGATACTGAAATGGAAAATTAGGTGCTTGTTGGCTTGTATTGTTCCAGGGCTTGAAGGCAGATGTATGAATTGCTCCCATTTGCTCATCAGGATATTGTAACAGGCCAAAATGACCTTTGTTAGAAATCATCCATGGCTCTATCCATAACGAGTGCACAGGACTCATAGCTTTATGGCTCAGGTAGATCAATGTATAGGCCTTATAAACTGAGTCTGATGTGGTTTTTATGTTACGTGTTACATTGTTATATTACATTGATGGGAACATTGTTTATTCAGTCTTTGTAGTGACTTCTGGTATTAGTTATTTTGGAGTACAGTCAATAGTGTCTACAGAAGATTTGTTAGAAAAATATTCCCCTTTTACTAAGAAGTATTCCATGGAAGGTTATATAGTTATAATATTTATTAAGAAAGCTAATGAGTAAATGGGGCCAGCCCTTGAGGTAAATGTTCAGTGTTTGGCATCTTCACCGTAGATACCCTCTGGTATCCCCTCTGGGGATTTTCATATGGTCTGGAATGCCTCTGGTGGAAAGATGGTGTATGAATGGAAGATTGAGTTAGCTACTCAGGCCTTCACTGTGCTTCTCAAGGTATGTTGTTGAGGTTAACAGATGTACCTTTTTGTCCATATGGATTAAGTGCCTCATGGGAATGGATTCCTAAGCATTGGCAGGGGATTTAGCAGGTATCTATTTTTATTAATATACACTGAAATCATGAATGATGACTTTGGAATTAACAACAGGACAAAATGCAGAAAATCACTGAGATCCCTGGCAGGTGTTTGCATCGCTTCCTTCAGTAACCATCATTTAAGGAATCTTGTAGAGCCTGTGCTGTTTATTAATCCTTAAGTGAGACTCAGGAACAGTACAGGAACAGGGTTTCTGTTTTAGGGTACCTGCTGGGTGTGTTCAGAGCATTATCCTCTTTATTGACTACCTTTCCTATTTTATTAGTGGAGAGGGATGTGTGTCTGTGGTGGCCACTTCAAACACATGGAGGTTATGACTGCTGTGTCTTGCTTACTGGGTTTTTTCCCCATCTGGCGGTTTACATTTGTTAGCCTCCATTTATGAAGAACAGGGCCTTTTAGGAAATTGTGGTAAGCATATTCATATAAAATGATTGAATGTGCACTAGAAATCCATCAGTGTGGTCTGATAGCATTTGATAGGATTTTTAAGTCAAATGTGGGACTGATTGAAGATTAAATTTAATCTTTCCAGATATTCTAGGAAAGGGGAAATTAAGCTGAGGATTAATTCATGTGATTAGTTACGTAGGTGAAATGCATGCCTGCATGTGTGTTTTAAATACTACCTGCATTTATATAATGATGCAGTGTGATATTGTGTTCAAGGATATGCCTCTAATAGAGCTTAGAATCAGGGGAAGATATACGTGGAAACCTGTTAGATCAACTCTTTAAAACTGGGCAAAGCAACAAAAAATACCTTGTCAGTATTGTTCCATTTATATTTGTATGAACATAACTTCTGTTGTAAAGCCACAGTCAAGAGCAATGTTTTGGCAGTGTAATAAGATAGACAGGGCTTTTCAGTTGTATTTGGATGGTTTGTGAGAAAATGCTTAGAAGTTTTGAGTTGCTAGATTCCGACAGGTTATTATGAAGTACGAGAGCATGCTATGCTACACTTCAGTAGTGTATTGATCTGAATTATGTACTCACAGATTGAAAACTGGTTTCTGTGTACTGAATAGAGTTATTTTAAAATGAAAGGGAGATGGAGATATCATAACTGTAGCTAGCTTTCTATTATTAATTAATTGCTCAGGACTAAAATGTAGCTTCTGGTATATTCAGGGCTGAGGGAATAGTACAGAGAGATGTTTTATTGTATCATAGTCACTGCTGAAAACATTCACTGTTCATCACTGAATATAAGATGTTAGCATAAAAGTAATCAGTAATGCAGGAGAGAACCTAATTTTGAAGTATGTGACCTAAAATTAAGTAATTAAAAAATTAGTCTGAGTTAGAGATGTTTCTGAGCTGTATCCCTGCTGCTTTTTCTGGGAAATTTGGGTCATCAGCAAAAAGCTCTCAAAGTCAGTCTGCTGCTACCAGCTGGCAAGGGAACCCTGAAAATGTGCCCAGTTTTTTTGTGAGTGAATAAATTAAACAGTGGTAATATAAGTTTCTAGCCCTTGTATTTGTGGAGAGAGTCATCAAAGCATGACCTGCACACTGACCATTTACTTACTCAGTGCCTCTGCTACAGCTGCTTGCCCTCTTAGAGGCTTTGCTGATCAAAAGCTGACTAGACTTAAGGGGTTTCTATTATTATTGGGAGTCATTTTCAGCTTTACTTTGCTGCTCCTTTGGTGCAAATATGACAAAGATTCAAAAACAATAGAGGATAAAATTATGGCAAAGGCAGCAGGAAAGGGAAATGAGCTAAATAGAATGCTATACAAGTGTAAGTACATATAGGAAATGGGTGGCTGGTGTTTCAGGAGGCAGGGGCTCCTAGGCTGCTATTACCTCCTTGGGGTTTTTAACCTGACAGAAACATGTTAAACTTTTGCACTACAGAACTAGTCAGACCCTCTGGTCAGCAGAAGTGGGTTCAGCTCTTGAGTTTTCTGGGCTCCATATTGTTATATAATTATTTTTTCTTGATTGTTTTGTGGTAGGGTTTTTTTTGTGTGTTTGTTTGTTTAGGGGTTTTTAGTTTGTTTTTTTTCCCACAGCCATTATTATATTTTCTTATTTAAAAAACAAACATGAGATTTCATCACAAAAATGTGCTTGTTTTAACTCGGATACAGTTAATTTTCCTCATAGCAACCAGTATGGGCTGTGTTTGTATTTGTGCTGGAAACGGTCATGATGACACAGGGATGTTTTTGTTACTGCTGAGCAGTGTTTGCACAGAGTCAAGGCTTCTCACCCCACCACACCAGCGAGGATGCTGGGGTGGGCAAGAGGTTGGGAGGGGACACAGCTGAGACCCCCACTGACCAAAGGCACATTCCATACCATATGGCATCATGCTCAGCATATAAAGCTGGGGGAAGAAGAAGGAAGTGGGAGGACATTCCATAGTGAATGGCTTTTGTCTTCCCAAGTCACCATTATGTTTGAGGAATCCCTGCTTTCCTGAGGATGGCTGAATTAATTCCTTGTTTTGCTTTGCCTGTGTGTGTGTGTGTGGCTTTTACTTTACCTGTTAAACCGTCTTTTTCCCAACCCACGAGTTTTATCACGTTTACTCTTCCAATTCTTTCCCCACCCCACCCGGGGGGAGTGAATGAGCAGCTGGGTTGCTGACTGGGGTTAAACCACAAAAAATAAGTTCTCTGTACTGACATTGCAGCTCAGACAGATTGTTTGGAGATTTTATAGAAGGATGACTCTTACAGACCCCAGTTAACCCCCCATCTGATGCCATGACCAATTTCACAAACGAATTGCATGCCACATGCTTGAGAAGTGAAGTATTTCAGTGAAAGAGAAACAAAATTCACCAAACACTTTGGAGGTCATCATTACTAACAATCATTAACTATGAAAGCGAGGAAGTATCTTCCATAAGAGGAAGAACTTGAGCTATGCCCATTTCCTTGCATCCTCCATGGTGTGCACATGCAAATCTGGAGATCTGCTTTTCCATGCACCTTAACCCGTGTAGGTGTAGTGCCCCTGGGGACAGCGAGGGGCAGGGAACCTCTGCCAGGCACTCCAGCTCTGGGCCATTCCTGTGCCTGCATCTTGGGATAATGATGCTTCCCCTGCCTCAGGTGCTCAAGAGATTAGCACATGAAAAGTGTTGTTTAAAGCAAAGTGTTATGCTGTTGTTTTGCAGAGGCTGGGTTGCCTGACCTTAAGTGTGTCAGCTAAAATCATATCTTGACATACACATGAGAACTCAGCTTGAGGAAAGGGGTAAACAAGCCAACCCTGTACAGTTGCTTTGTATTTAATATAAGATATAAATATTTTTCTTCAAAATTCAAGACTCCTTTTGGGTTTTAACTGTTATTTTTTCCCTAATGGTGGTGATTTTGACCAAGAAAGTGATGGTGATAACATATCTTGGAGAATTATTCTGAGTTTGCAAGTGATTCAGAATGAAAGGTATTACCTTACTATCAGTATGCTGTTGCGAAGAGAAAAATATTTTCTCAGTAATGCCTAGAAAATTCCTTTATGAAAAATAGATCTGGAATAATAAGAATTTACAGAATCTAACCAAATCAAGTTGTACACTGTGGCTGGCACAGGATTTACCAGGAGCAGGAGGTTAACAAGCACATAAAAATTGCCTCAGTGGCCCTGTCTTAGTCTCTATATGGAACATGTAC